GATTTTCGACGGTGAATGTGGACTTAGACCAAGTTTTATCTTTTGATTGTTTTCGTTAATTTAATTTTCATTGTTATTGATTGCGTTATTTACAATTGTTTGCATACAAAAACCCCACAATCATTGTACGAAGCATAAAATATTGAATTACATACTTTTCGTTAGATCGACCATTACTTATGATACTACATTAGTTTTAGAGGTTAAGGTATTACTTTTGGTTGTCTGCGACACCACACACCACATGTGGACTGAAAGAAATATCGTACAAATTGAAAAGGAATTAAGAATGAGGAAATCTTCCAAATTTTTTGGCCAAGTCAAAGTTTCATTTTAATGAAACCCTAACTGGTAGTTATTATTATTATTTTTTTTGAAAATACTTCAATACTCTACGTTGAGGAGTATTTATGACCGTGAAAGAATCTGTGACCAATTTAGTTTGGAAATCTGTGACTGTGTGACATATAAATTTTGAAATCTATGATCGACGAATTAATTGTGATCTACAAATTTTTTTATATGTGACCATTAAAAGATCTGTGACCAACTAATTTGAAAATATGTGATCTGCAAATAAACTGTGAACAAGTTATAATCGAATGACCATTTGAAATTAAACTGTAACCATTAACAAGAAATTTGAACCATGTGTAAAAAACCACTGTGACCTGCACTGTGACCATTTGAAATTAACCTGTGAATATAAAAAAAAAAAAATGAGTCGTGTAAAATATTTTGTGACCTATGCTATGGCCATTTGAAATAAACATGTGACAATCAACAAAAACTTGAGCCATGTGCAAAAATATTTTGTGACATGTGCTGTGACCATTTGAAAATAACTTGTGAATGTGAACAAAATCCTGAGCCACATGCAATATATTCTGTGCCTATGCTGTGATCATTTGAAAATAACTCGTGACTATTAACAAAAATGTGAGACATGAGCCTTATCATGTTATCAATCATTATAAACAAACAATCATGCGTTATGACTTGTGACCTGGCCTGAGNGAGTTGGAACAATTATCGGAATCGAAGTAGTCGTCGCGTTGTAGCAGCAAGGGTGGTAGAGATTGGGTGGGTTAATTATATTATTTATATCTTTTTATATATTTATATATATAAATAAATAAAATATAAATATATATGTATGTATATGTAAAATATTTGATTTTTGAAATTTAAAAGTTGTTTTCTTATTTTTGAAATAGTGTATACTTAAAGTAGGATTTATGAATTTTTCCTTTACTTGTTTTGGTGAGTTTTTTTGGGTCAATTGGTTCAAGGTGACGGGGACTAGTGGGATAGGTGTGGGCCTTATAGTCTATGGTGGAGGAGGAGAGGAAAAGGAAGGCGAAATAAAGGAGAATTTTTTTTAAAAAAAAAAATTTAATAATTTTTTTTGGGATTCGTTTATATTTTTCTTAAAAAAAAAATTTGGGAGTATAATTACAATTAGTTTTTTATTTTTATTTTCTTCTCTTTTTGTTTTATTTAAATAGAATGGTATATTCGTTATTTCACATATTTTTATTGAAATATTAGATGAAAACAATAATTTTCGCAATAAAATAATGAAATAGAGGTGAAAATACAACAACAAAAAAAATTTAACGTTAGGACATTTTGCACAATGAAGAGGGACGTTTTGTGCCAATAACTATTTTTTATATAGCCCTTTTTAAGCTCCATTTTGAGAGAAAAGTGCATTTTTAAATAGTTATTTTTGGAGAATGTTTAATTAAAAATTAAAAAAAAAATCGATTTATTTATGATATTATTTCATTGATGTGTGGTTGACAATGAGTATCAAATCCACGACTTCGCACACGAACACGATGACAGTACCACGATCCATTGTTTTAATATCATTGGTCAATCCTCGTCGAATATGCCAACGATTGGCTCGTGCGTCTCACTTTATATTCAAGAGCGTGGGATACAATCACATCAAATATCGACCATATGACAAAACCCTATTCTCATCTATACATGGATTACATTTCTACTTTCATATCTGTCTTTCAATTTCGCGGGATTTTTTCTACATTTAGACGCAATTTTCTGTCAGGGTTTGGGAAATTTGAAGGAAAAAATGGCTCAAGCAGTGGAAGAATGGTACAAACAGATGCCGATCATCACCAGATCGTACCTTACAGCTGCCATTGTCACCACAATCGGTTGCTCCCTCGATGTAATTCATTTCATTCGCTGTGTCTTGTTTTTGATTATTTTTGTGTGGAATCATCGGTGCACGCTTATATATAGATGAAATTTTTGTAAAAGTTTAGTGATTTCAGGAGTACATGATTGGTTTGAATAATCATTAATATGATTAGTTAATTTCGTGAATTATAGGTTGCTTTTTCATTGTTATTATTTTTGGTTTTAATTAATAGTTAAGTGATTTCAGGAGTACATGATCGGTAATAGCCTACTAGAGCCGTAGGGCATGTATTTTGTTAAAATTTAATGGCTTATTGGTTTTCTTGTTTTTTTCTTGAGAATTATTAATTTCATTTTTTTGTGATGCCATTGCAGATAATAACACCATACGACTTGTACTTGAATCCAAAGCTAGTGATGAAGCATTACCAAGTCTGGCGTGTCATCACCAATTTTTTGTATTTTCGAAAAATGGGTAGTTATATTTTAAAAGAAGTTGAGATTTATTATTCTTGTGTATTTGGCAAATGATAAATGGAAAGAGACGCCTCTTTATGAAAAGAAGGATCAGATTATCTAATTTAATATAATCTGAAGCACATAAAAACCCTGTGTGATTGGTAAAGTGGACAAGAACAAAGTTCGTAATTGAAGTAGGTTTTTAAGTACCCACACAATCACCCCTTCAAGCCAATTCATTTATTGAGGAATGTTTTTTATTAGTAATACAGTGGAAATTTTATTTAGCCCCTGTATGAGCTACATTAAAATTTTCATTCTCATTCTTTTACTTATTTTCAACCACACATTAATCAAATAAAATAATATTTTTCATCACATCAACAATTTTTCCTTATTTTTCATCCACACATTTCCATCAATCTACTATTACAAAATACATTCTTCCAAAATAATGTGGCTCAAATACACCATTACTCAAGTACTTTTAATCACAACAGGCTTTGACTATGATAGTTTGACATAATTTCTTTTTATGTGTTTAACTATGAGAAAAAGTGTTCTTTAGGGAATTTTGATGATGCCTATCATTTGTTTTATTGTAATTCGATCCTTTTTTGTGTTTCCAGACTTGGACTTTTTGTTTCACATGTTCTTTCTTGCTCGATACTGCAAGCTTCTTGAAGAGAACTCCTTTCGGGGAAGGACTGCAGATTTCTTCTATATGCTATTATTTGGTGCCACTGTTTTGACCGGCATTGTTCTTATTGGAGGAATGATTCCTTACGTGTCAGAGTCATTTGCTAGGATTATATTCCTTAGCAATTCACTCACATTTATGATGGTTGGTCTGCCTGTATTTTGGTAGACTTGATACTGCACATTTTTCACTAGCTATGCGCCTTTTTTCTTTCTCATCTCATTTTACCCATGTTGCAGGTCTATGTTTGGAGCAAGCAGAATCCTTACATCCACATGAGTTTCTTGGGGCTATTTACTTTCACAGCAGCTTATCTTCCATGGGTTAGTCGTTGACTAAAATTCATTTGCCAGTTGTGCAGAACTATACACATAGCATTTGTGTTGCTTTCCTTTAAATGTAAATAATTTTAACCTCATTTTCGAGATAATTGCATCAAAGCCTATTTGTTGCTTTCTTTCTTTCTTCTTTTTTTTTTTTGTTAACTCATATTGGCACCATGAGGGGGTCTATAATCATTTGCCCATATTTAGTGCTGGAATATTAACTTAAGCCCCCCTGTTTGACATCCTTTACTTTAATTTAATTTATTTTTCATACTTATTTTCAATCACACATTCACACAATAAAATATTCTATACGTAAACTCAAAACTTTTCCTTACTTTTTAACCACACATTCTCCAAAAAATACTATTCAAAATAATGTTTTTTTAAATTTGAAGGATGTCAAACAGGGGCTTAATGTACAAGCCTATGATTGTTCAAGATCGTGGGAGTGCACAGTGCACTTTTATTTGGAAGCGTTGATTCCTCAGAACCCTGACTGATTTAATTTGTTTGACATATCTCAAGATCACTGTTACATTCAAACTGCAAGATCATCTGCACTTAATGACCTCCCTTCCAAAGAAAAATTGAACACAACAAAGTGCTGAAACCAAATTAAGAAACCTAAGGATTTGCACTATTTTTAACTATACTTGCCAGGGTTGGTTTTGTTTATGGCACTACTGAATGTATATGTGACTCTGGGCTTTATCTTTTTTTTTTTCAGGTTCTTCTAGGGTTCTCTGTCCTTGTTGGAGCTAGTGCTTGGGTGGACCTACTGGTACATTTGCGGACTTTTTTACTATCTTGAGCTGAACTTGCATGTCTTGGTAGTTTGAACGAGGTCCTTAAGAGCTTGTTTGGGAAGGATTTTTGGGGGAAGAATTGATTTTGAATAGTGATATGATAGGAAATGTGTGGTTGAAAAAATAGAAAAAATTATTGATGTGATGAAAAATATTATTTTATTGAAGAATGTGTGGTTGAAAATGAGAATTGATTTACTGTATAAAAATCTAAATCATTCCCAAACAGGGCCTAATAGTTTCTGATATTTATGCCTGTATGAAAAAGAGTCTCTTCTCCAACATCTAAAGCATGCACATTGATACTTAAGAGGTTGTATGACAAAGCTTTTTGATAAAAGTTTTAGCATATTTTGATAAAAGTATGATGAAATATGTGGTTGAACAGTTGATAAAAAGTTATTGATCTCATGAAATGTGTGGTTAAAATAAATTATGAACTTTGACCTCTAATTTTTACCAACTTTTAAAGCTTTTCCCAAGCAAGCACTAAATGTGCGCGGGTTATTCAAGGCTTAGAGAATGCATCTTTTTAATGTGTTATAGGCATCATTAGCATTTTTAGTCAACAAATTAACAATTGACGGGCAATTCGGCAAGAGCTTGAATAATTGTGTGAATGATGTTTGCATTTGTTAATCATTCGTACTTTTTTTCTTTCTTGTCTACGAATTCTTTTTGCGCATAACTTACTATGAAACATTTATAACTTCCGTCAGGGAATGATTGCTGGTCATGCCTACTATTTCCTCGAAGACGTGTACCCACGGATGACAGGTAGGCGTCCCCTGAGAACTCCGACTCTTATTAAGTCATTGTTTGCAGATGAGCCTGTAGTGGCTGCTAGGCCTGCAGAAGTGAGATTTGCTCCTCCACCAGTTGACGATGTTCAACAGAATTGATCAGATTTGCGGGAGCTTGTGCTTTTGGAAGCTGGCCTTTGTTTCCCCTAGATAAAGATTTGATTGGAGGGACCGTAAATAGTATGTGTTTAACTGCAGTTGCTGTTGTAATCTAAACTTGTGCAGGATACCGGAAATTTTATCTTTGCATTTCCTTAGCTTCTTGTGGGATGTAAAATTACAGTGATCTGGAAGATTGGGTGATGTGCTTATAGATACATATGTATTTCTCTAACTTTTTATCCAGAGAGTTTTCCTGGAGAATCTGATCTCTAGGCTTGGGATTCATAGGAGTTTTTATAAGAATCATTGCCACTCTCTTTAAAACAGAGCATGTTTGAAACAACTAATTTCATGCTTATAAGCAGTCCATCACATGGAACAGAAGTCGTTAATAGCCTGAATGAAAATCTTAGCCCCTTCTTCAAAGATTCTTTGATTATAAGTTGTGTAAAAGTAGATTATCCAACTAGAACATCCAAATCAAATTTTTTGTCATCATTCCAAGTCTTGACTCTTACATCTGCACGATATGTTATAATTGCGCTGATGTACACTATTTTGGGAGGCCCCAAACTCTGTAAAGCTTTACAGCAAACAGGGTTGTACTTTAACCCATCTAAGCACCTTGCAAGGGGTAGGTTGAAAATAAATAATGTCACAGTACTCTTTAACGAAACCAAAGAGGTGCAATCTAGCAAAATTATGCAAATAACTATCGAGAAAGATAAAACTAACACCCTCCAACATCTCAATTAGAAGAACAATTTTATAACGTGCTAACTTCTGTAAATGATTGTCAAATTGCAATTTTTTTCCAACATAACAAGAATAATTGAACATCTCTCTCGGCTCGAGCTCCATAAATACAGGTAAAAAGAACTTCTGAGGACGAGCTATTCCAGAGAAATAAAACATCTGGCTTTCTTTCCAGGCTCGTATTCGATCTCGTCAAGCTCACTAATTTCTCTAAGCTGGAACCTTGAGAACCCAAAACAATACCACTGCCAATAAAAAGATAAATATGCACACTAGCGGATGGGATGGTATTGAGCTGATACTCTTTTAGGAGGCAGCTTGCGCAAGATGTACAGCACAAGTGCTGAAGGAAGAATCTCGACCAGCTGTTTTTGCATAAACTATATGAGAACACAAAATTAGGGAAGAAAAGGTTGACAAACTTGATAAAAGCAATTTACCATGTAATAGATAAGATTTAAAATTGGATGGTCCAATACTTCAAGAGATGCATCTGGGTCGAAAGCAGATAACCCAACCTGCAGAATGTTGCAAAACATAGGCATCACAAGATCAATAATGAGTGCATCTAAGAATGCAGTCAGAAGAGAAGTATCGCACATTAAGATAAGACAGGACTCCAAAATTCTATAAAAAGTAAAATCAATGTTCCAACTCATGATTTCTTTAAGCTTTTTGACATCTGTTAATGACTGGGAATTTATTCACACAAGATTAATGCACAAAAATTTTGAATAAAGAATTAAAATTACTGCCACAACATTTATGGGTTTATGCAACAGGTGAAGAAATCAAGACCCTATTGGCCTTTAAATCCACTCCACCACAATTCCCTTGTAATTTTGAAATACACTCACTAAACTACGAAGTCTCACCTCACAAAGCCACATTTACATTGTACTCCAATAAATTCAAATAAATAATAAACTGCATTTCATGCATAGTTGTATTGAGTTTGGAATAGGGAAATCAGGTCACCTAGAGCAAAAATCCTAAGGGAGGCAGTCAGGTTTAACAAGTCAGAAAGCGCCCAATATGGCTTCTGGATGTGTGCTATTTATTTTGTTCATAATTTTTCTAATAACTATTTAAATCAAAATATGCCTCTTTTTCTCCCTATGAATTAATCCTTTTCATGCCAATATTGCTCGTCCTATGAGTATCCATGATACAGATAGCTTAGGTGTGAAATTAGAAAAAGGACATTGCCTCCACCGAAAGAAACTGTTTCTAATCAAAATTTCTCCACGTGTTAATTCTATGTGCAGTCAATAAATAATTAGGTCACTTGGCTATATCAACAGAACAATGCATGGTGTATGAGGATAAATCAAGAATAAGCATAGACCACGGAATCCCATGGAGAATTAAAGAAATGATGTAAAGTTTTAGTTGTGCCTGAATCAGGCTACTCAAACTTCAAACAGAGGCTAGAAATAAACATAAGAAGTATGCCATAAACAAGTAGTACTGGTGCCAGAATATTTAAAAGATGAAAAGATTTTCATTGGGCACTCTTAACTTGTTGGACCACTCACTCTGGAAGATAAAGAATCACAACAATAAAACCAACACCAAATCATGTGTGCTTCTATTTGTGCAAATTTTGGTCTCAGAAAGAATATTTGCAAATTGTTTACAACAGTAGTGATCTCTTCTTTGCATGCAGAAACGCTGAGTTCAATTGTGATACAGATGCTACCATCCGTAAAGGTGAGAAAAATCAGACTTTTTCAACACAAGAAGCACTTCTATTATGTCAAAAATCAATTGAAAGGCATTTCGAACCATACCACGAAACACCTTATAAGAAAACAAGTGAAGCATATAGCCGTCACAAATCCAACCTGCAACAACAAAATCCAATCAGTTCTCACGTATAGGAGGAATGAGAAGGATAGACATTAAATGAATTACACAACTGGGGAGCACAAGAAATAAGATTCACATGGCTACATAAAATACTCACTAAGCTAATGAACAACTGGAGAACATCAACATCAGCTGATAGATAACATCACCTCACAATCACCATCACCAGATTTCAGAAAAAAAAGCAGTATCCTAAATGGATATGCAAATTGTATATCTGAGCCACTATTGTAAGTGTTTTAGTTGTCATGTATTAAGTTCTGAATAACAAGCTAATCAGAGTTGATATGTAGGGTAAAATCTGACTGTTAATACCTGGTAACCACCACTAAAAGAGCAAATAAAAGTTGTTTTCAATTTGGGCCCTGTTTGTTTCGGATTAAAATTAGATTTTAATTTAAGTCAAAGTCAAACAATCAATATTAACCACATCTTTCATGTCCCACAACTTTTCAACCACATTTCAAAAACTACTATCCCAATTTCCTAAAAATCTAATTTTAATCCCCACCAAACACCCACTTAATTTGATATGCACTAATTAAATGTGATGGATGTTTGGTGTTATAGTACTTTTATCATTTTTCATAACGAGAATAATTTCGATCCTGATTATCTTTTTGAGTACAGAAATTCGTGATTGCATCATTGAAGAGACTTGCTAATCCAATTTGCTGAGATTCAGTAAGTCAAATCATCTGAATACATTTCAAGAGGCCTCAATATTGATTGATTCTCCAATAATAAGATTGATCCTCCAATAATATAGTCTTAACATTATGCAAAACACTATCAGTGTAAATACAATAAGCGATATATTACTATTAGGTGAACATTGTTTAGCCCAAAGTCAGAGAGGCTATTAGGCAATCTGGATGTGGTTTCCAGAGAAACTTTATAGATTCCTTTGGATATTGCCTAATGTTTTTTACTTAACAATACTTTATGGATTTATCAAAAGGTAAACTAAATAAATGTAAAAAATCTGTAAATGCTGCAACGTTATGTGCATGTTTGGAAATGCTTAAAATTGCTTATAAGTTGATCAAACTCTATTTTTATCTCCACATTTAGTAGAACCCACAACTTGTACCCACTCATTATCCAAACATTTCTTAGGACCCACGATAATCTAGTAAAAGCTTTGACAAACAGCTCATAGTATATAAAGTATGCAACTCTTTCTCATTCAAACATGATTCATAACCTCATGAAGTTTCTTTCTCCTTCCTTTTGACTCGATGGGGAAACGTCTCAGCATTAAAAATAACCTGGAATAAGGAAGGATACGAAATTGACAACAGACAAGGGTAACAGAAAATTGAAATTCAAAACCTCAACAAACAAATTGCTAAGATTAATTTACTTTAGATGATAACAGCAGTGATTTGAAAGTTTTCAAATACTTACCTTCCTCCATACAGCAAGAAACCTAGTGCTGCGATAAATGATACCACTGCGAAGATCAAAAGAGATGAGAAACCATAGATATTTTGCATAAAAAACGATTCTGGCAAACTAAGAAAACAAGCTCGAATGTATATCAAAAATAGAAATTACTACGATGAAATCAACCTGCAATAAAAATCTTTCCAACGAATTCCACAGCACTGTTGTCATCTATCCAGATGTACGCCCAGATACAGACCTGATTTCAATACCTCTTTTCTTAAAGGATCATTTATCGAAAGGAAAATCTTAATTTACAAAGAATAGATCAGACAACTGATGAAGTATATAGTAGACTAAAAAAAAAAAATTAAAGAAGCAAGTTTGGGAAATTTTTCGTCACTTGTCCATGACATAATTTAAGTATTTTCAAGTCCTTCTCATGACTTCATTTATCTACTGGTAAATACAACTTAGTTGATCTGTTGTTTTACTAAAAGCTAGTTAAATTTGTTATTGTATTCCATGATTAGGAAAGTTGAAAGTTTTGAATACGCGCTGCAGTAGCAGGCTGTCATTAACTAGTAGCCAGCTTTAGATGGATTTCATTGGTCCAATCTCGGATTAATAGAAGTCTTGAGTATTGGGACACCACAACAATTGGTCACAGTTTGTTTTCTACAGAGATGATTTTATAAAGTCCTTTGTGATGTAATGGCGTAATATTTTAGATTTGTCCACAGCACAATGCATCGTCTCTCCTGGATGTGATGCACAATATGCCTTTGTGCGATTACTAGGTTCGCTCCAAGACTCTTTTCTTTTTTCCACAGTTCTCAATTCTCCCTTCCACTCAGAATTCTCCCTGGGCGTGCCCATCATTTCTCCAACTGAAACATGACTTAACAAACTTATAGTCCTCAGAAGACTTGACTATCTACCCCAAGCCATATGGCATCAACAACCATATGACGAAGTTTCTTAGTTTTAGCTATTTGATAAGGAAATTTTGTCACCAATATGTGAACTACAATGGATCTCACTTCATTTAGCCGGACAACCTTCATCTTAGGGCAAGCAAGAGAAAGAAAGATTGGCATCTCTTCAAGAGTAACATAACCCATAATACTCGTTTCCTGCACCCAGCATAAAAGATCTGGAAGAAATTTAACCTGAAACTGCTCCTACTCTCAAGGGGAAATAGACGTGCAGGATTAAGTTCCAACTAACTGATATCAACAGGACAAAGGTGGAATAGTAGAAAGAAGAAAAATGACACAATATATCTTAGGTATAAAAGCAAAATGCCACAAGATACAGAGATATCGTGGAGGCGTCTTTATCAAACATTCAGGTCAGAATAGATTATGAGAACTTTTACAGAATTGATAAAGAATATATCCCTAAGAGACATAGAAATGCAAAAATATATAATTTAAACTTATCAAATAGTACTATTAAGTGAGGTTGCAGTACAAGTGCAATGTACCTGAATGAAGTATATTGCACTGTTGATATAAATATAGAAAATCCTCAGTTTATCAGTTGGCAAACTTCTAGCCTGCCAATAATCCAGATGAAGGGTGTCAGATATTCCTCATATTACGTAACTGCATTCACAAGCATACACACTTCACTTTGTCAAGATATTCTATCAGGACATAGAAAAACCTAGTGTCAACTGATTCATAACTCACAAGCACTCATTCAGTTGGTGGATAATTTATTACGACTCTCTACTTACCTGGTGATATATCTCTGCCCAAAAGAGGATAAGAAGTGTATATGTTGAGAAAAACAGTAGCCCAGGAAGATCCAAGAGTATCAAAGTTAGTGCCTGATACAAAATGAAGTGGAGTTTCTTCAAGTGATTGACTAAGCATGAGTAGCCATAAGATGATAAATATGTAACTATCTGTTGTAGAAACAATTCACTTTTTAAATTCATGCAAGCCGCCAAATATCTATACTGCAGATCCACAATAATCATTCAGTTATTAAGATTGTGTGTGCACCATGCAAGCCATATGCTGGTTCGTATAAACAAAACAAGAAATCCAGTTAGTACTTATATGCCTGTGAACTGAATTAATGAAATGATTCTCACACAAATGATAATGCAATTTAAGTGTTAAAAGTCACCTCTGCAGGTCCGTAATCCCCAAATAGGCAAATACATCTTTGTCAGTGAGAATAGGAAATTAGGCATATATGTATAAAGAATCTTTTTATTAGGAAATAGTTAGCTATATAGTTTCCTTCATTAACAAATTACTTTGTTTAGCTCCTAATTGTAGGCTGTAATCAAGGTTGTATCTTATTATTTAATGAGAAGAGACTTCTCCATGGAGGGCATTCAAACCAAATCCATCGTTGACAATCTTGGGTTCAATAAAGAAACATATCATGAATTTCATCCCCAATTCATTTAGCCATTGTTAGAGCCCCATTTTTTCCATCAAAATGTATTTTTGAATAGTAATTTGACCCCATTTCAACCACACATTTTTCAAAAAAATAATTTTACACGCAAACCCAAAATTGTTCCTTATTTTTAACCACACATTCTCCATCATAACACTACTACACAATGCATTTTTGAAAAAAAAAAAAGGGCCTCACACAGGCCCTTAAGAGGAAGTGAAAGCAGTTTGTTAATTATCATAAGCCTGAGTTAGTTTACGCAAAAAATCTTCAAATATAAACCTACACATGACGGAACAACTGGGGACAATGCAAAAATTTAAGGTCTAACAGTCAACCAACTTGTGAGCGTGATCAATCAAACCCATAATACGAGGAAGCAGAATAATATTTATAAATGTAGTATGTCATAGTATCATCAAAGGAATGAATGTTTCGTGAATAATGCCAGTAAATCCAGAACACCAGGCACTAGCAAGGATAGAAAAAAGACTACGCCCTTGTCTGCGATAAATTTTAATCAAGATAAAAATGAAAAATTGGACCGTTGCTGACGTGTTGGAACCCTTTTTTTACTTGCTTCTCACACTGGGACCTACTTACTGTCCAACCAACGGGAAAAAAAATGGCTTCTCACACTAAAGAAATTGTTTCCAGTCAGGGTGTAAATACAAACTAAAGCAAGTATTAACAGAAAAATTACAAATGCAGCTCAGTTAGGTAAAAAGGCGAAGATAATACAAATATTACTATAAAATAAATTTTCAGCTGGAAAATACAAAATTTTCAACCTACTAGATTAAGAAGCTTCAAACAAAAAGAGCAGTTGGGAGGAATAAAAGGAGCAAAGTGTGAATGGCAACCATCAAGCAGACAAGTATTCGCTGTAAAATTTACCTTGGTGTGCAAAAGAAAAACTTGTTTATGAAATCCAAGCACCACAGCACGCACTGCCATACGTAGCTTTACAATTAATTGATGAATGGTTATACAAGTATAAGATAGCCAAGATATTCTTTGTTTTTACCTCCATTCACAAGGAAGTTCAAGAGGTGGAAAACCTTTTGCGTAGTCCAGCCATACTCAGGTACCCTCAGTTCAATTCTTATTAGTTGAATCTGCACACAGTAAATTCCATAATCAGCTTAAAGGCTGATCATGTGATATAGTCCTCGTAAATGAACAATGCCAAGATACTGAAATAGATTATCAAGAAAGATTTTAAGCTGAAGCAAAATAAATACAAAATCACAAAAGAATTGAGAACTAAGTTTGAAGTTTTCTTAATCTACATGACTTCTTTATGTGATGGATATGACGAAGCCACCTAAAAATTTTATGATAAAAATGTAGATACCTCTACAATTATTAAGCTTATTGGGCGTCACAGAATGCGTTACTAACAAATTAACATGAAACGATTAGCAGCATGATGGTTACACACACTGACACATTACTCATTGTTCTTTTCTTAAGTACATGAAAGTCGTTAAGATATTGAACAACTTCATATCCTTGTCAATCCTAGGCTTATCTCTTATCATTTCAACTTATCCCGCATTAGTTAAAGCTATAACTCAAACAAATCGTCATGCAGCTAAGTTACCCAGCCTGCACCATCTGTATGTTGATTGTTGCTAACCAGTCAACATTATCAGCATGGGTTCTGTCTATTCTCTGATCAAAATTTACTTCTCTCTCTCCTAACAAAAGAAAAAAAAATACGGTTTTCAGTTTATGGTAGATAAACTCCAGTAAGTTCTAAATTGTTGAACCAATGGAAAATAACAACTTTCACTGATCGTAGGTCAAAGCTCAACTCCGTCTCCCGTGATTTTAAACGCACAAGCATTCAAAAAGTTAAAAAATTTCAACCAAATTCATATGTTCGATTATATTCTAAGTTCACCCAAAAAATCACTAACCATAACAATTAATTAACTCACAACTCGATAACCACAGCTGAGAACAAGCTTCATCTCCCGAAATTTAGTAGATTCATCAAGAAAATAACATATATACAAGACGTACAGTATCAAACAATGAATTTTCATACACACACACATACACACAAAACAACATACGTATATATTGGATTGTGTTTGAAATATAATTTGAGTGCTTACGAGGGCAACAGCGGAAACGAGAGCGTAGGCCCCGCAGAGAGTGAAGAATATCCCGTCCTGCCATTTAACCGACTCATTGATCTGATACCACCAGCTCGCCGTGAGTTCTCCGTGAAACTCCGGTGAAGACAGCTGCACTCTCTTCATTTCAGCTCAGATCTCTTTTCCTTCTGCCAAGTCAAAAACTGTATACTAGAAGACGACTACGAAACAAGAGGACGCGTCGACTTCTACATCTCAACTCTTGAAAGAAGGTTATAAACAAATAGAAAAACAGAGTTTTGCTGGGTAGGTGGGGGTTGTAGGAGCCGGCCTACTAGGTACCAGAAGGTCAGGTCGGTCCGATCCGGTCCGGCCGACCACACCTAAGATTCCTCGAAAGTTCGAAACCTTTCTACTTAATGGTTCATATTAAATATTAATAAATTATAAAATAGAAATTAATTAAGCTTCTGTTTCGTTGTAGTCGTTCACTATCGTAATCGTTCCACGTGACATATATATGACAGTTAGTAATTTGATGTATTAACGTGATAAAAAAACACTGCTAATTATTATTCTTAAGGTGGGTTGTCATCCTTATCTAAGGTATTGGTTTGCTATTTAATAATTTAATTTAATTAAGGTGGCTATGAGGGAGAAAAACATGGACACGCAATGCAAGGGTGGTGTGTCATGACATATTCAATCGTAAGGGGGCACGTAATTGTCACATTCGTAACTTGAGAAGGTGTTCATTGCAATGCCTTCGTAGGAAATTATGCTACACTTACTTCAAACTTACCTTTTATAAAAAAAGTCAAATAATACTTATTTTTTAATATCAGACACACTCATCGAATTTGAAAAATAATATTTATCTGTCATATTTTTATATTTTTACTATCGATCATTTTTTGAGCTATATATCATCTAAATGAGGTTGATATACTCTTGAAAAAAAATGAAATTTTATATTAGCTGCAATTTGATTTGTGCGAAGCAAACTGTAAAAATATAAATCGACAGGTTACATACAAGCTCATTCGATATAATTTAATTTTTAATCATATAAATTTACTTATTTTAATTTAAAATGTACAATTATTAATAATATTAACGTAGCATTCTGTGTACATAATTAATAATAATAATTAAAAATATTGAATTATGTGTTATCAAAATATGTTTAAATTTTCACTCGCTCGCATGTCTTAAATAGAAGAGTTTAATGATATTTAGCTCATGTGTTAAAACTTTTTTTTTTTTATCAAAATACATTCTTGAACGGTGATTTGACCACGTTTCAACCACATATTTTTCAATAAAAAAATATTATACGCAAATTCAAAATATTTTCTTATTTTTTAACCATGCATTCTCCATTATAATAATATTGCAAAATGCATTTTTAGAAAATGGGGTTCAAACAATCCCCTAGAAAATAACATAATTATTAGAGATATCAATGAGTCGAGTCAAGCCGGTTCGTGATCCGAAACTAGAGTCTCAGACTCAAACTCGACTCCTCTCAAGTAAAAATGGTTCGACTTATTTTGGTCCCACACAAGCTAGCCTGTGTGGCTCTAGCTCGGGCTCGTGTCGAGCCCCCAAATGAGGTTGACCCGAGCATCGACTAGATTTTATCGAGCCGCGAGCCACCTTAGCCTAGAGGTGGCAAACGGCTTGTCAAAACTTGGCTCGTACTTGGACGAGCAAGAGCCTAGCGCTCATGTGGTGGCGAGCCACTTTATAGGTTTATTGACCGTTTGCAAAGGTCACTAAACTTACAAAAATGGCCATTTTTTCCTTTTTTTTTTTTACTCTAAATATCCCAGTTCATTTCAACAACAATTCATACACCAACAACAATTCATACTTTCTTCCACATTTTACAATATACTACATTCTACCTTCAATTTTTTTTATTAAGGCCCTGTTTGACACCAATTCGCATTTTCATTTTTTTTTCTCTTTCTTCATTTCAACCACACATTCTCCAAATAAAATAATATTACACACAAATCTAAACATTTTCATTACTTTTCAACCACACATTTTTTCATCAATCACTATTCCAGAATTTATTTTTTCTCCAAAATTGGTGTCAAACACAAGCTAAATATCAATTATCACACTACAAATTTACAATCTTATACTTTCTTTGCATACTCTTTATTTACTTACTTATTATAACTATACAAATTACAATACATATTCTATACATAATATTTTATACACTAATTCATTACGATTTAAGTTCGTACAATTATCAAATTTCTATATATTCATTCGTCATTTCATCTTCATTCAAGAAATCAAGTTCTTATATTATCAATTCATTACATATGGATCAACAATCATTTGTTGATGGCTTGTTCGGTATCGAAGGTGAATCACCAATGACGCTGCAAAGTCAATTTCACAATGAATTTGTCGATCTCAATGAAGTACCCATTCTAAAAATTATTCCAGTTTTGAATACTCATGGAAGTAGTAATTTAATTGATTTGGATGACATTGATGTTCTCCAAACAAAAAAGGATGGACTAGCTAATGATTTGAAAAATATTAAGAACGAAATTTAAAAAATAAGGGATGAACTAATATATATTACAATTTCACCTAGTAGAAAACAAGAATTCGAGGAATTTTGTGTTGAATTTGGAATGACGAATACGAAAGCATTTGTTCGTGACGTAAGGCATAGATGAAACTTGACTTACTTATTATTGAAATCATAAGAAAGATATGAAAATTTAATAACAATAGTCATATTAGAAACGATGATAACACTATTTTGAATGAATCTAATGGGATGTTAGTTTTTTAAACTATAAAAATTTTGACAATTTTTTATGACTCTACAAATATTTTATTTAGAGTGTACTATCCAACTAGTTGTATGGTGCTTGAACATGTCTATATCATTGTGAGGACCTTTGATAAATACAAAAATAACCCGAATTTTAGCGAAATTATAATTTCTATGGAATTAAAGTTTAGAAAATATTGGAAAGACTTACCTATATCATTTCCTTTGGTATGTATCATGAACCCCCGATACAATTTATAAGGTACTAAATATGTAATTTATCAAATTTCAAATTTTTTAACTTTTAACATACATATCACTTATAGAAGTTTAGAACAAACTTTATAAGAAATGTACGAATTATATGCACAACGAATGTGTACAAATATTAGTTGGGCACCTTCACGCCTTTGCCACCCGCTAATCTTGAAGAAGATAAAGTTGAAATGAGGAATTTATTTGAAGGCATTAACACATATAGATATGATATAGTAGGTTCTTCTAACATGTCTATTGCATAAAATCTAACATCGGACGTAAGTCCAAATTCATTGCCCGATGAATTAATTGATTACTTTAATTATCATATGCCCACCGATCCATCGATTAGAAAAAGTTCAAAAGATATAATTGAATTCTGGTGAAAGTAAGAAAGACGAGGACCAATGGTATCTGCGATTGCAAAAAAACCTATTAACATCTTCGATTAACACTGCAAATTCGGAGTCTACTTTTAGTTTATGTAAGAGGGATCAGTACGAGATCAGAGTCGACTGAAAGAAGATGTTTTGAAAGCATTAATGTGCGTGAATGATTAAAAAGACGGTCATCTTTTACTAAAAGATAAGTATGCAGAAATTGTTTGTCGTCACGTAAATGATATTTAATTTAATCATATTATTAAAATTTGTAATTTCATAATACTATCTTTAATATTTTGAAAACTTTGTTTGTGTACAATTTTCAACTACACCTACTTAAAATTTAAGTAGTCGGTCCCAAACCCGAATAAAGGAGAAGATTAAAAAAAAAAAATTCATTGAGCTCGAGGATCAACCTGAGCTTAGCCCTCGAGTAACGAGCTGAGCATAAGCTCGTTCAAAATGAGCCTCCAGCTCCACGAGCTGAGCTCGTGGGCAATATGGCCAAGTCGAGCCACCACCCTTGGCCAATCCGACGAACAAAATTGACATCCTTGAGAGTTTTCAAAGATTATAAAACAAGTATCGAATATTATCAAAAGGGTAAAAAGTTGTTTTTGATATTATCTCTTCACAATTCATAGCAAACAATACCCAATATACCGACAACTCCCATCATATGAATGGGTTTAGCTTTCAGATATGAAATTCCACTGTTTACGAGGATGAATCAAAATATAGTTGTTACACCAATACTAGGTGCAAATAACGTAAATCTCTAGCATATTTTACTTGAGGCTTCTCATTTTAAACATGTGAAGTGCTTGATTGTACGTACGCATATAAATTGAGATTAGTAAAGAATAACAAGGCAATCACTCCGTAATCGCATGAAATCTTGATACATCAAATTTTCACTAGGTGCGATAGATTCCATGCAAATCTACATATAAATAAAAAGGTTCAAAAAAATAAAAAATGGAAGTCTACTGTACAACATTTTGTTAAAGGATAATATTATTTATCATTATGATAATGGAAGATCTATGATGTGACAATCCATTATCCCTCACATTTCTCTCCCTCTCATGAAAATTAAACGGTCTAATTTCATTATTCCACATAAACTGTCACATTATCGATATTCTATCATCATAATGATAAATATCATTATCCTTTGTTAAATATCTCAACTATCATTGAATCTTTTCCATTACCTTATTTTCAAGTAGAATAAAAACTTAGAAATTTCCAAGTTGCATTACAATTAGGACTGTCCATGGATCGGTTCGGTTCTGAAGAGACCAGAACCGACCCAAAACTTTCGGATATTTTTCAAATTTTTTAACTTTTAACATGCATATCACTTATAGAAGTTTAGAACAAACTTTATAATAAATGTATGAATTATATGCACAACGAATGTGTACAAATATTAGTTGGGCACCTTCACGCCTTCGCCACCTGCTAATCTTGAAGAAGATAAAGTTGAAATGAGGAATTTATTTGAAGGCATTAACACGTATAGATATGATATAGTAGGTTCTTCTAACATGTCTATTGCATAAAATCTGACATCGGACGTAAGTCCAAATTCATTGCCCGATGAATTAATTGATTATTTTAATTATCATATGCCCACCGATCCATCGATTAGAAAAAGTTCAAAAGATATAATTGAATTCTGGTGAAAGTAAGAACGAAGAGGACCA